TGGTCCTCTTTGAAGTTCAGGGAGGGAGGAAATTTTTGATTGGTACTCTTTCCTTTTGGTGCTAGGTTCTCTCTCAGCTGTTAGTTTTTCAGTCTGATGCTCTGGATTTATTTCCTGTCCCTTTGCCCCACCAGAGAGTTTAGCAGGGTGTGAGTGTGGGTTCAAACCTGGGCGTTCTGGTGTTTCTTTCCCTCCTTCTCTTTGGGGGTGTTTCCAGTGGTGGATGCTCTTGCTTTGTTTGATCCCCCTGTCGCCTCTTCGGGAGCAGCGCCCATGGACCAGCACCCCTCTTTGGGGAAACTCTCTAGTGTCTGCTTTCTCACGTTCTCCCTCACAGTCTTACTCAGCACCCCCAGCTTCCAATCTGGGCTGTCCCCCACCTCCACCTCCCAGTACCCCCGGTGAGTCCCTGCCTCCTTATCATCAAACCCCTGACTCCCCACAGCAACTAGGGGCTCAGATGAGGCAGCTGGCCCTTGGAAAGCAGGTTTGTGCTGGACTGTTCTGCCATCTGGAGACAGGATGAGTTGGGCGTGTTTACAACTTTGAACCAGAGTGATGGGAACTGAGGAGAGAAATCAGAATAACCCATTAGTCCCGGTTCAGTCAGAGACCCCACAGGGGAAAGATTCCAGCCAGCACAGCTGGAGTGGTAGACAGAGTATTAAGGGTTGGGGTGGCTGGTGGGACTGGCCCTGCTCACCTGGATCTGGCTTTGGGCTCTGGGGAGCTGCAGGGCTGTGTCTGAGCCTGGTCCCTGAGCAGGGGGTGAGATGGGGGAGCTGGAGCAGGGGACTGGGCTCCTTGCTCCTCACACTCCCCCTGCCCAGTGTCTGACCCTGAGATGCATTAGGGATCCAGGGGCCCATGGAGGGGGCCAGAAGTGAGGACTCTGCAGGCTGTGGTGGGAGGACTGAGAGGATATCGCTGGAGCTGAGGGTATGTCTACACTACCACCCTAGTTCGAACTAGGGTGGTAGTGTAGACAAAGGTATTTGACAAGTCTTGTGGATTGCAGTGGAGCTGAAACTGGAACTTAGGCACCTAAGTCTGGAATTTAGCAGCCCAAGTCTTCTCTTCATGGATCCCTCCTCATGTGTTGGAGTTTTAATAAGAATATTTTTAGCTTAATTTGACATGAATATATAGGAGCATGTTAATGCCAAAAAGTATTCTGGCTGGCTGGCTAAGATAGAACATGTGAAAACTAGACTAATGCAATGTTAAATTTATAAAGTTTCTTAACTTTTTAGTCTTAATGTATTAAAGACTCTATAATCTAACAAACAACATAATTGGGCAGATATGAATCTGAATTAGTTATTTTTTATAATATTTATAAAACAGAAAGCAAAAGGGGTTGACTTCTACTAATGTTTGTATAAAAGTGAGCATCATTGATAAAAGTATGCCTAGCATTTCAACAGGTTTCTTGGTTAACAGCCACTATAGTAAACCAAAGCCCCACTCTTGCACAGAAACATGGGCAGGTCCCTACATTTGATTGCACCCCTTTTTTAAGTCCTTGGGATGCTATTACACCCCAGGCTCTGTGTGGCGCTGCCCCTTTGAAACACCGCACAGACCCTGGGACCCCGGGCTCTATGAAACACTGCTGCTAGGAAGTACCCCTTTCTTTCCCCCCACCCCTTGCTGCCTCTGTCTGATAGAGGCAGCAAGCAGGGAGAAGCAACTAGTCAACTAATGATTGACATCCCTAGTTATAACGCATGCGTTTTACCATATCATCCTTTGCTTGGGAATCTTTATGGGCCAGTTGTATCTAGACGGGCAGGATATGTTGGCCACTAGCTCATGTTGGCTGTTACCTACTGGGTGAGGTGTCTCTCCTGGAGCTTCTCACCCAGCTTTTTTGACATTGCTTGTCTCCTGTATTCCTCTTCCTCTCTCCCTATACATCTACGGATTCTCTTATTTAAATCCTTCCTGGTCAAGTGGCTGCCTTTGTTTTGCTTCTCTGTCCACTGCTCTTACTGTCTCCCATTCCTTCAGAAAAATCAGCTAGTCTGATCTTCAATACAACTCATGCAGTGTTCCCAGATATTTGCACCTGAACAGGCTCACTGTGTCCTAAGCACCTCCTGCTGTATCTATCTGGTATGCATCTGCTACAGGCCCTGTCAGCAATGGTGAATCCAATAGGTATAGGCATTCGTGATTAGGGATGTAGTCGACTATCAGATAAGCCTAGGCTGATAAGCTTATCAGGTAGTTGAGTGATTCAGCTACTTGCTTCTCCCACCCCCTTACTGCCTCTGTATCAGGGGCAGCAAGGGGAGAGGAAGCAGGAGTTGATGCTAGGGGGAGCCAGCTTAAAAGCCGATTCCTCCGGCACCATCTCCATAGTGTGCAGTGCGGGCGGGTGGTGGTGGTGGGGAGGGTGGAGGGAGAGAGAGAGGTGTATCAAAGGAGGCAGAGCAGCAGCGGTCCAGGAGCTGGCCTGCACTGGCTCTGGGAGCTACTCCAGCTGCAGCTCTGTGTTTTAAATGTAGTAAAAGCCAGGTGGCCCTTTCTACATTTAAAATGCAGAGCCACTGTGGTCCCAGTATGGTCTGCACACCTGACTCCTACTACATTTAAATTGCACAGTCGCAGTGGGGGTAGCTCTTGAACCCAGTGAGAGCTGGGACAGAGCACCTCCCCTTATCGACTAATTGCATAGTCGATAAAAATTGTATTGATTACTCAATTAGCCAATTAGTCGTTTTTTAACATCCTTACATGTGATATAGCAGCTCTTCATAATACAACTTCAGAATATCAACCAGAATTCATAAGTTGAATTGAGATAGCCCTAATTCATCACAGACCCAATTCTTTAACACGTACACATGTTTAACTTTAAGTATGTGAATATTCACATTGAAGACACTGGGACTACTCACATGCTGGGGTCTTAATCTTACCAATACAAAGAGAATACAGGCAAGGGTTAAAATAGCAGTGACAGATATAGATAATCAATGGACAATTTGTCAAAAAACGTTAATGTGCATAAGATCAGCTACACAGTTAGCAATGCTGAAATTTAAAACTAGTACTATTAGGCCTCTAACATTTCAGACATCAGCTCTCATGTTTGTGCTCTTTCTACGTACCTTGGGACAATTTGAATAATCTGTTGTTCATTCCTCCATCTCCATCCACAATGTAGATCTCTCCCGTTTGCTCCACAAATATTTCTGCTGGCTGATCAAACTGCAGTGGATTCAAACCCGAGCCAGCTTTTCCTGGAGTACCCAGGACTTGAATAAGTTTACCTGAAGAACTGTACTGTTTAACTGTGTGCCCATACTGCCCTGTATTTAAAAAAGCAGACTTTTCTCAGTAAAACTATGGATCTTTGATGTCAAAATAGTAATAAGATAAAAATTCATTGTTACTTAAAGAATAATGAAACAGAACTAAGTAAACTCAGTAGTGAGAAAATAATTGCAGTTTAGAGAGGCATCACACATACGTATGCACAGGACTGGACCCAACAGGATGGGACAGAGGACAAAAATAAAGCATAGAGTTGCATGTTTCTTGGCTCTGCTCCTCAAGTAAGAGATATAAATGTTGGCCACAATTATCAGCTGTGGCAAATGGGCAAATGGCACAACTCATGAGCCTTCAAATTGTTCTACCTTGTACTGGAAAACTGGATCAGCACACAATTAGGATTGGGAGAGCATGAATCTGGCTTAGTGTTCTTTTGATACCTTATTTAATCAAACCATTGCAAAGTACTGTTCAGAGAGATACCTGCAAAAAAGAATATTTTCTCAGTGGCATAATATTTTTACCATGTTCCCATTATACATACCAGTTCCAACATCTGTGATCCATACTGAGCTCTCTGTAGGACTGTTGATTGCAAAGATACCATGTGGCATTTCAAGTGTGGAGTTCCATGCATACAAGAAGTATCCTTCATCTGAAAACACTAATACCTTTGGTACATTATCCCCTCTCTGAAAGTGTACACAAAAAGGGAAAATTGAAAACATGGTCTTTCATCAAGCATAAAATATTAACTTTGATAAATTTGTTTAAATGTTAGTAATTTTTATGTAATTTTTTTTATAAACATTAATAATTCTCACACACATATCCGAAGGGAGAGAGATATGGACCTCTGCCCAAGAGAAACGTTGGCTGAGGAGCCATAGACCTAGAATAGTGCTCCTGAGGGAGCATTAAAGGATGCAAAAGGAAACAGCAAATACCATGAGACTTGGCAATGCTGTATCTGGCAGCCCATTTCCTTCCTGCATCCCCAACACCCTCCTATAATTCCCAACAGCGTCTGAACGTTTCGTCTCCTTGTTCCACTAGGAGTTTTTGCAGCATCGTCCCTGCTCCCTGTGAGCCCATCCAGTCCTGCCCAGGGGAAGCTGGGGAGTGGGTGCAGCCCTCAGGGTGTTGCTCTGTGTCAGACCATCACACTCCACTCTAATACAAAGAGGGTCTGATCCTCTCAACGACTCCTGGCAGAAGCAGTGTGTGTGTGTGTCCACAATGGGAATGAGTCACTGTGAGACCCTCCCCCTTTGTATCCCCCAACCAGTGTGTGTGTAATTTCCTACATTGAACAGTCACATTAACACAGTTCCCTCCAATTAGCACATTCCAGTATCACACGGGATTGTTTCCAGCATTGTCGTGAATGGCCCTGGTGTCCATGAAGGACCCTGCAAGCCCCTTCCCCTCTGCATCCTGCAACTGGTGTGTGTGGAATTTCCTACACTGAGCCGCCGCTTTAACGCAGTTCCGTCCTGTTGGCACATTGTGATGTCACAGGGGGCTGCTTTACAGCATGATCATGCATGGCCCTGGTCCTCTTTGAAGTTCAGGGAGGGAGGAAATTTTTGATTGGTACTCTTTCCTTTTGGTGCTAGGTTCTCTCTCAGCTGTTAGTTTTTCAGTCTGATGCTCTGGATTTATTTCCTGTCCCTTTGCCCCACCAGAGAGTTTAGCAGGGTGTGAGTGTGGGTTCAAACCTGGGCGTTCTGGTGTTTCTTTCCCTCCTTCTCTTTGGGGGTGTTTCCAGTGGCAGATGCTCTTGCTTTGTTTGATCCCCCTGTTGCCTCTTCGGGAGCAGCTTCATGGGAAGGAGCTTTTGGAAACTTCCTCTCACAGATGCCCTCTGCTGATTTCTTCCCCTGGTTTGTTTCCAGGGGCAGGGTGAGATGCAGGCACTGGGGCTGTTTATCCAGTTCCTGGTGTCCCTGTGTCATTTTCTGCCCCTTCCCTGTTGTCAGGGGTCGGGGGCTGTGGAATCTCCCAGAAGATCAGACCCACTAACTCCCTAATGTCTGGGGGAAATCCCAGTCACTGGGGGGGCAGATGCTGAGGGGGTTGCTCTGAGTCTGCCCTGCAGTGTGTCCAGGGCTGAGGAAATCTCCAGGATCAGGGCCATTGAATTGACACTGTAAAATGAGAGATTCCCCTCTTCTAGATCCAGAAACACCCCAACCACTGTTGGCCTCACAGCCCAGCTCTGGATCACAGTGTCGGCGTCGCTGGGGTGATACCGCCCCTCTGATCTGCCCATGGACCAGCACCCCTCTTTGGGGAAACTCTCTAGTGTCTGCTTTCTCACGTTCTCCCTCACAGTCTTACTCAGCACCCCCAGCTTCCAATCTGGGCTGTCCCCCACCTCCACCTCCCAGTACCCCCGGTGAGTCCCTGCCTCCTTATCATCAAACCCCTGACTCCCCACAGCAACGAGGGGCTCAGATGAGGCAGCCAGCCCTTGGAAAGCGGGTTTGTGAAGGACTGTTCTGCCATCTAGAGACAGGAGGAGTTGGGGGTGTTTACAAGTTTGATCCAGGGTGATGGGAACTGAGGAGAGAAATCAGAATAACCCATTAGCCCCAGTTCAGTTGCTGACCCCACAGGGGTGAGGTTCTAGCCACACAGAAGGAGCAAAGGCCAGTGTATTGAGGGTTGGCGATTCTAGGGGGACTGTCACTGATCACCTGGATCCAGCCTTGTGCTCTGGAGAGCTGTAAGACTGTGGCTGGGCCTGGCCCCTGAGCTGGTGGGGAGGTCGGGGGATCTGGAATGGAGCACTGGGCTCCTAGCATCCTCTCTCCGCCTCCTGCCCAGGATCTGTCCTTGAGATGAATTAAGGCTTCTGGGCAGCATGAAGGGTATCCAGGGGGTGATGCTGCTGCAGGCAGTGGTGGGAGGACTGAGAGGGGCTGTGGGTGGAGCTGACAGAGTAGGGGATGGCTCATCAGTGAGAGGCCAATGGGAGATGGGGGAGCACATCAAAATTACCTGAGAGGAGGTTACAAGGGAGCTGCCCTTGGATATGAGGGTTCCAGGTCAGGAAGCATGTTTGGGACCATTCACAGTATCTAGCCCTATGGGTCTGCAGTCAGTGCCCGCTTTGCCCTGACTGCCACACCTTTGACAGCCCAGTTATGTAACCCCAATACCATTCACCCCAGCGTGGCCTCTGCTCAGCCCCAGCCCCACTCACCCATGCAGCTCCGAGCCCTCCTGAAACCTGCAAGGGAAGAAGAACTAACATGGGCAGAGGCCTAAGACATATGGGAATGCTCCTATGGGAGCTGTCATTCAGGGAAAGGGTCATTGGCAAATAGAAAGAAAATGAGCGATGTGAAATGTGACACGGAAACACGTCCTCTTACCTAGCTCTGCAACCTCCCTGGCTGAAACGGAAAGAGACGAGTTAGTCCCTGTCAGTTAGGTACAGAGCCCAGTCCAGGGGACTGCTCTGGGACCATGTAATCACTTTACATGTCATTCATGGGTCCTCCCTGTGGAAGGACCAATGTCTTGGCTGTGTGCAGTGAGACACAAACCTCACTGTGTCTGTAAGTAGCAACATGAGAACAACCAGCTCTCCGGGATTGCTTTATATTTTCTCAGGGGCTATGTCTACACTCGCGACTTCTTGCGTGCGTAATATGCAAATGAGGCTAAGCGTGGACTATCGCTGAGCCTCATTTGCATACCTAATGAGCCACCATTTTTTTCAGAAGAGGCTCTTGCGCAAGAAGGAGCATCTACACTGCCCCTTCTTGCGCAAGAAAAACCCTCTTGCACAATGCCGTTACAACTATTACTTTTCAGGAAGAACGGCATTGCGCAAGAGGGTTTTTCTTGTGCAAGAAGGGGCAGTGTAGATGCTCCTTCTTGCGCAAGAGCCTCTTCTGAAAAAAATGGTGGCTCATTAGGTATGCAAATGAGGCTCGGCGATATTCCACGATTAGCCTCATTTGCATATTACTCGCTCAAGAAGCCGCGAGTGTAGACATAGCCTTAGTGTCAGGGGCTGGGGCAAAAGTT